TCTGACCTAACATTGCTATGTTAGCCATCTGCCTGAGTGACAAGGCCCAGCTTTGTTACCATACCCTCGCTCTGCTCACACACCTACGCTGCACAACCAGCGGCAGCCTGAAATACCTCCAGTCCAAAAATAAACACTGCAATGGCATCGTATCTATGCATATTGAAAGACTGTAACAGAATACACGGTGGGAAAGACCCACACAGGGGCAAATGAAAAACACAGACCGTATTTATTATTTGTTAATAACAAAGGGAAAAAACCCTCCAATCCAAGCCATGTTGCTTTTCCATCTCACCACGGATGTCTTGATGAGCTGCTAGGAAGGAACAGGAATAACTTCCTTTGGAGGTGGAGCACGAGTCTGACAGCTTTCTGCACTTCACACTAAGTGCTGAAAGAGCAAAGGTCCTTTACTGCCATCACCTGGAGTCAATGCAACCAGCAACAGGAACTTCCTCTAAAAGCAGAGCATGCAAAACTCATTCAGTTGCATGCTGTTACGCGGACAAAAGGACAGGATGGGATCATTCAGGTTGCAAAAGAACACTTCGATTATCTAGTTCAAGTCATCACCAGCACGGCCGGTAAGCCACGTTCCTCAGTACCACAGCTACCTGCTTCTACAAAGCCTCCAGGAATGGTGGTGACTCCAGCACTTCCCTGTCCCTGTGCCTCACCACTCTTTCTGAGAGGTTTTTTTTTCCTAATATCCAACCGAACCTTCTCTCATGCAACCGGAGGCCATCCCCTTTCGTCCTACAGCTGCTATCTAAGAGAAGAGGCTGACCCCCACCTTGCGACAACCTCCATTTCAGGGACTTTTAGAAAGAGATAAGCTCTCCCCTGACACCCCTCTTAGCCACAACAACCCCCGTTCCTTCAAGGAGATCATCTTCTGTGTGTTTTGCTACAGTTCCTGGGAGGCAGAGGCTCCAAGCACCAGCGTGGGAGAAGGTCTGTCAAAAAAGATTTGCTATAGCAGTGCATCCAATGAAGCCATTCATGAACCAAGTCTTCCCCGGGCAAACCGGACCGATCTTTCTGCCCGCTGGTTTAGGCAGTGTCACTGTCTTGCACCACCTAAGCTAAGATA